AAAAGAGACTTCCTGGAGGGAGGGGGTTGCAGCACTACAAGAAATGTTACATATAGTGACATACAAAAAGTGTCACTATATAGGTATAATATATGTAGGTATATATCTATTTGAGATATAGTTACACACAATTTTAGTGTTGATTTTGAATGAGATTTAACAATATATTTTGTGTGTCACTATAGTTTATACCCATACTTTTTTAATAATATTCCAACATATATTGTAGTTATTGTGTGGATAAAAGTAATTTTTAGTGACATGTATAATGTCACTATAGGGTGTGTGTCACTATATGACAATTTTGTTATAGTGTTGGCATTATTGTTATATATATTTTTGGTTATTTTAAGTTACATTGTATTTTTTTTTATGGAGACCTTCACCAAAGGTCATCATCTTAAGGACATATACTAATATAGTAGTTCAAAGAAGACTATAGTTTCTTCCTTCACATCTAATGGTAGTGAAGAATAAGGAGGAGCAAAGTCTAGTGGAAAGGGAGCTTACCAGTGTTAGATGACCTCTTGATGGTTAAGATGCTTCTTGGAAGTCAATCTTGTAAATTAAAATAATCCAAAAAAAAAAACCTTTTTCATACAAGATGTAAGGTTTTTTGTAAGATTTGTTCTCTCATTGTGAGTAATGAATTATGTAGTAATTATTGTAGCATAAGATTGGTTAACATGTTAGTCTTTACTATCATTCATTACTCAATGCCTTATAAGCTTCAATAATTAAATAAAAAAAAGGAAAAATAGTAGTAGACCAATAAGTAAAGATTATGATTTATATTAGGAACTATCAAGAAGTTTTATTTGATATAGTTTTTATGGAAGCTAGTCATAATTTGTTGAGAAGGACATGATAATTTGACAAGAAGGTATCCACAGTGATCTTATCAATGAAGTATCCCTTATTAATATGGATAAAATGTTTGTGTTGTATCCTCTTACACCTTCAGAAGTGGTAGAAAATTAACTACACATAAAACTTAAAAGAGATGGGAAAAATAAAAAGAGAAAAGAAAAACAAGAGCAATCCTTAAAAGGCAAGAAGGGTAAAAAGGAGAAAGATGTCTCTTCATAAGAGGTTGTTAAGAAAAAGATTCACTTTTCTTTAAAAACTGAAATCAAGAGGATTATCTATCTTGAACAATCCTTTGTTCCACCACTCAAAGAGTTGGTGAAGAACATTATTCCTTCCTTTATGGAAGAAAAGTTAGAGTAGGCTTTTCAGCCCTTACAAGATGAGCTCTCCAATACATATGTTTTAGCTCTTCCTAACATTTCTAAAACTTTTAAGCTAGAATATTATACATTTGGATTAGGTGAAGTAGCTATTTTGTTGAAGGGTGGACAACTTATTGTTTCTTTAAAGATAACTCTTTATGGTATCACTTTCAACTACCCCACCTATAACAAGGAGCTTTATACTCTCTTCCAAGTCTTTTAATCTTGGGGACATCACTTTGTTACTAAGAAGCTTGTCATTCATTGTGACCCTAAGTCACCTAGTTCTTTAGGGAGGCAAGAAAAGATTTTTGTAAATAGCTTAGTTCTTAGGAGTATTGGTGATCACAAAAAAATACCCAAGGCATGTTTTTGTAGATTTTAGGGGAAAACCTCTTTTAGAAAAACTTAAAAATATAGTTTTGGTTTAGATAAAGATATAGGATTTCTAGTTAGATCAAAAGGGAATTGTTCGATATTGCCTAAAAGTTTCCCATTACTTAAAAGTCGAAGTTAAGGGTAGTTTATAAATATCATCCTCCCTTAACTCACCAAGGCATCTTTTGAAGAATAAAATTGTGACGACCCAATGAGCGTCAAAGTAGACAATACCTCAGACAACGTAGTGACTCTAATGATGCTAATAGATTTACAATCGGAACATTAACACCAGAAAAAAGCTAAGGGTAGAAGAAAAAGACAATTTATTTCCTTGTAATTTTCTTTTTAAAGGTATATTTAGTAATTTATTGGGGGTTCCATTAGTGTTTGAAAAATGTGCTTAATTGGGTTTGTTTTGGCCAAGAGAGAGTGGAGACCATCTCTCCTTTAGTGGGTCATCCAAACTAGTCCCCACTCTCTCTCATTGGTTCAAACATCATCAACAAGTCACATATTTGACACACTAGTCATACTTTTTGCATGCTTGCTACTACACTCTCTTTTCTACTAACACACCTCGATCACACCTTTTGTACCTTGATATGTGACAAGCTCTTATTTTCTCTTTTAGATTTATGATGTAGACATTTTTAGAGGGAATTCAAACTTATACTAGAGTTAGTTAGCTTAATTGCAAGTTAACTTAATCTTGGTTAGCTTATAAACTTGCAGCACAAATTATCAAATTCTATATATAGGATATCCTAATGTATTGGACATCACTTTAATGCTCAAATGAGATTTGAGATTTTCCAAATCCTTTCTTTAAAGTCTTGTTCTCTCCTTGAATAATTTTTTTTGTGATGAACTTTTATTAAGGAACTATTCCTTGTAGCAAGTTTATCATCTATTATTTATCTTCCACTTGGAAGTGATGCACCAAACATGCATCAAACATTCTCATTCTCCTCTATATTTGTTTTATTTATTTGATATTTGGAGTCATGGATGAAAATCAAGAAGCTAGGAAGGATCTATGGAGAATTCAAATACCTTTTTCTTAGGTGTTTCCATCATAGAGGTGCAACGGAAGTCAAATGACAACAACAGAGGTTGGAAGAGGAGGAAGACAACTGAGGCGCACAGTGGAGGTGCCTAGATGAGATTGTTAGTGTTTTTTTTTTTTTTTACCAAAGAATAAAAATGACATTTCAACTTTTAATATAAATTTTTAATTATTATATTATTTTATTAGGACATGCAATGAATAACAAAAGCATAAAACATAAAAAAAATCATATAAAACCATAAAATAGAAAAGAGGAAATGTTAGAAAACAAAGCAATTTTGTATTTGTCGGATAACTATATTATTCTCCATGTTTTTCATTCATATATATGACAAATACATGAAAAATGACAATCATATATAATGTCCATAAATGTTGTCAACAAAACATATATACCCATCATCATTAGGTGCGTAAATTTACTTAAAATCAAATACCTAACAGAATATTATCCATTAAAGTAAGTAAAAATAATTACAATGAAATTTTACTCATTAATTCAAACAACCATAATTAATTACAACAGTAAAAAATAAAGAAAAAATTTACAGCTTTAACATATTCAAATAATTAAGATAATCTACGCTATTTATCACATCTAATGGTGATAATATAATGACTCAACTATGAACTACATGAAAATCAAACTTTTATCTTGTTGATTCTCATTTACTTATGAATCTTGAGTACACAGTAGATTGTGCCATAATGGTAAGCAGAGCTTGACCCGACTGAAGCATAATCTTCCTATAAACTTATCTCAAAAGACGACCCGTGTTAGGTTTCTGTTGAAAAGATGGAGTATGCAAATTAGTCATCCACCAACTACAACATTGACTTATAACAGTCTTCTCTTCTAGTTCTAACTTCAACAAAAAGTTGCACTAATCACGATTCAACAAATACGGCTCGTCTACAAAACTGTTTGTTCGATTTTTTCTTATTTTATTATATTGACATGCATCTGCCTATGCATAGCCAAGACCGCTTACTCAACGCAAAACCTCATCTTCCAGAATTTAGTAGTCATTTTATTGCTTCGAAATTCGAATACACAATGGGGCATAGCATCATAATGTTGTGTACTTGGTTCTTCTTATTCTCAATTATTTCAGGAGCTTCAACATCACCGGATAGTTTAGCAGTGAGTCAATCTATCCACGATGGAGAGACTTTGGTTTCAGCAGGTGGAATTACTGAAGTGGGTTTCTTTAGTCCAGGAAATTCAACAAGACGATACTTGGGTATATGGTTCACAAATATATCCCCTTTAACAGTGGTGTGGGTGGCTAACCGAAATAAACCTCTTGAGAATAACTCAGGAGTTCTCAAACTCAATGAAAAAGGGATTCTTGTGCTTCTCAATAGCACAAACAGCACCATTTGGTCATCCAACATATCAAGCAAAGCAGTGAATAATCCAATTGCTCATCTCTTGGATTCAGGAAATTTTATAGTGAAAAATGGACAGCAAACTAACGAGGATGGTGTCTTGTGGCAGAGTTTTGATTATCCGGGTGATACACATTTGCCAGAAATGAAAATACTTTTAATATAAATTTTTAATTATTATATTATTTTATTAGGACATGCAATGAATAACAAAAGCATAAAACATAAAAAAAATCATATAAAACCATAAAATAGAAAAGAGGAAATGTTAGAAAACAAAGCAATTTTGTATTTGTCGGATAACTATATTATTCTCCATGTTTTTCATTCATATATATGACAAATACATGAAAAATGACAATCATATATAATGTCCATAAATGTTGTCAACAAAACATATATACCCATCATCATTAGGTGCGTAAATTTACTTAAAATCAAATACCTAACAGAATATTATCCATTAAAGTAAGTAAAAATAATTACAATGAAATTTTACTCATTAATTCAAACAACCATAATTAATTACAACAGTAAAAAATAAAGAAAAAATTTACAGCTTTAACATATTCAAATAATTAAGATAATCTACGCTATTTATCACATCTAATGGTGATAATATAATGACTCAACTATGAACTACATGAAAATCAAACTTTTATCTTGTTGATTCTCATTTACTTATGAATCTTGAGTACACAGTAGATTGTGCCATAATGGTAAGCAGAGCTTGACCCGACTGAAGCATAATCTTCCTATAAACTTATCTCAAAAGACGACCCGTGTTAGGTTTCTGTTGAAAAGATGGAGTATGCAAATTAGTCATCCACCAACTACAACATTGACTTATAACAGTCTTCTCTTCTAGTTCTAACTTCAACAAAAAGTTGCACTAATCACGATTCAACAAATACGGCTCGTCTACAAAACTGTTTGTTCGATTTTTTCTTATTTTATTATATTGACATGCATCTGCCTATGCATAGCCAAGACCGCTTACTCAACGCAAAACCTCATCTTCCAGAATTTAGTAGTCATTTTATTGCTTCGAAATTCGAATACACAATGGGGCATAGCATCATAATGTTGTGTACTTGGTTCTTCTTATTCTCAATTATTTCAGGAGCTTCAACATCACCGGATAGTTTAGCAGTGAGTCAATCTATCCACGATGGAGAGACTTTGGTTTCAGCAGGTGGAATTACTGAAGTGGGTTTCTTTAGTCCAGGAAATTCAACAAGACGATACTTGGGTATATGGTTCACAAATATATCCCCTTTAACAGTGGTGTGGGTGGCTAACCGAAATAAACCTCTTGAGAATAACTCAGGAGTTCTCAAACTCAATGAAAAAGGGATTCTTGTGCTTCTCAATAGCACAAACAGCACCATTTGGTCATCCAACATATCAAGCAAAGCAGTGAATAATCCAATTGCTCATCTCTTGGATTCAGGAAATTTTATAGTGAAAAATGGACAGCAAACTAACGAGGATGGTGTCTTGTGGCAGAGTTTTGATTATCCGGGTGATACACATTTGCCAGAAATGAAAATTGGATGGAACTTAGAGACTGGTTTAGAAAGATATGTATCATCTTGGAAAAGGGTTGACGATCCTGCTGAGGGAGAGTATGCCGTAAAACTTGATCTAAGAGGATACCCTCAAATAATGATATTCAAGGGACCTGATATAAAATCGAGAGCTGGATCATGGAATGGCTTGTCTATAGTTGGAAATCCGGGTCCAATTCATGAAACGGAACCAAAATTTGTGATGAATGAAAAAGAAGTGTTTTATGAGTACCATGTTCTTGATAGATCGGTCTTCTTTGTGTATAAACTGACTCCTTCAGGCACGGGGCAGACTTTATTTTGGACACCTCAAACAAGCACTCCACAAGTCGCCTCAACTGGGGAACAAGATCAATGCGAGAATTACGCTTTTTGTGGTGCAAATTCTATATGCATTTATGATGGTAACCATCCAACTTGTGAATGTCTGAGAAGTTATATTCCAAAGTCTCCTGATCAGTGGAATATATCAATTTGGCGCAATGGTTGTGTTCCAAGGAATAAATCTAATTGCAATAACAGTTATACGGATGGCTTCTTCAAGTACTCACACATGAAATTGCCTGACACGTCTTCATCATGGTTTAATACAACCATGAACCTCGATGAATGTCAGATGTCCTGTCTTAAAAACTGTTCTTGTACAGCATATGCCAATTTAGATATCCGTGATGGAGGAAGTGGCTGTCTACTTTGGTTTAATACTCTAGCAGACTTGAGGAAATTCTCTCAATGGGGACAAGACTTGTATATCAGGATCCCTGATTCAGAATTAGGTACTCCATTGTTTTTTTTTACTATGATTATGATTTTATCCTTTAGTTTTTTTGCTTTCTTCTCCCATTTGACTTCTTGTCAATTATTGAATTACTATAAGAGGAAAGGGTGGAGTAGTCTAAGGCCATGTGAATATTCAAGGGTGAGCAAGCACACATTTTATTAAGGTAGTGCAAGCAGAAACACCTAACAGCTTCACATTTGTGCGTTTTTGCCCAACTCAGTCTAAAGAAACGAGACTCACTTTCTAAGCTTATATCAAATCAATAGAGCTATTTATTTTGAAGTGGGGACTGATCTGCTCTCTTTCTTTTAGATCATGGTGGCCATGGAAATATCAAGAAAAAGATTGTAGGAATCACTATTGGTGCGACTGTTTTTGGATTATTCATCACATGTGTCTGCATACTGGTAATTAAAAATCCAGGTACACTGTTATTTCTGACACATAAAAGTAAAATGGGTATATTATGTACGAATGTTTTTACACTGTTATTTCTAAACCAATCAGGGCCTGCAATAAAATTTTACGGCAGCCATTACAAACATATACAGTAGGTACCATCTATATTAGTTATGTGTTTGATAATCCTTGGATGTGCAACACCTGTATTAAAAAGACTTGAAAATTCTGGTGCATATTATCAAGCTTGAATTTGCAATTTATTCTTAGTTATGCCAGTATACAGGCTTCCAAAAATAGGGAAATAAACAAAATAAGGACACTAGTCTTCTTGATTAATTCCAAAATTAGGGAAATAAACAACATAAGGACACTAGTCTTATTAATTTTTTGATATTGTCATTTTGCACATTTTAGTGTGGACAAGAGTATATTGTCATAATGCACAAATCCAATGCCGGAAAGAATATTTTAGATTGAGGAAGGAAGACATGGATTTGCCAACATATGAGTTGTCAACGATTGCTAAAGCCACTAGTAATTTTTCTAACAGAAATAAACTAGGGGAAGGTGGATTTGGACCAGTGTATAAGGTAATACAGCCATATCTTAGTAAGACCTTTATTTTCTCAACTACATTTCATAAGTAGTTCAAATGATGGTTTTCATCAGGGTACACTGATAGATGGGCAAGAAGTAGCTGTAAAACGAAACTCAAAGATGTCTGATCAAGGACTGGAGGAATTTAAAAATGAAGTTGCTTTGATTGCAAATCTTCAGCACCGTAATCTTGTGAAACTTTTGGGTTGCTGCATTCAAGGAGAGGAAAAATTGTTGATCTATGAATACCTGCCCAACAAGAGCTTAGATTGCTTCATCTTTGGTTAGTGCCTTTGAGTCTAACTTTACATTTAAAAGATTATGGCTATCTTTATGTGATTACCATTAAATCCTTTTTACATTGTCAGTGTTGTACTAAACATGTAAGTTTAATTAATTTACTAGATGAAGCAAGAAGCAAGCTCTTAGCCTGGCATCAACGTTTTCACATTATTGTTGGTATCGCTCGAGGGCTTCTCTATCTTCACCAAGATTCTAGATTGAGAATTATTCACAGAGATTTAAAAACCAGTAATATCCTACTAGATGCGCAAATGAATCCTAAAATTTCAGACTTTGGCAATGCTCGAACTTTTGGTGATCAAATTGAAGCCAAAACCAAAAAAGTAGTTGGAACATAGTAAGTTGCCTATTATTCATGCTTATTGTTTAGTTTATACTTTATATGCAATTTTTTTTATGACTTATTTTGAAATTTATATTTGCAGTGGTTACATGCCCCCAGAGTATGCTGTGCATGGTCATTACTCTGTGAAATCAGATGTCTTTGGCTTTGGGGTGATTATATTAGAGATAGTCAGTGGAAACAAGAACAGGGGATTTTCTGACCCAGAGCACTCTCTTAATCTTCTTGGACATGTAAGCACAATGACTATCCACTTTACTACCTGGTTGAGTTGTGTAACATCAACAGATTCGAAGTACGTGACAACTTTAATTTCCATTGGTTTAGGCATGGAGACTTTGGACTGAAGAAAGACCTTTGGAACTGATAGATACACACTTACGTGAAAGATGCGTTCCTTTTGAAGTCTTAAGATGCATACATGTGGGTTTGTTGTGTGTACAACAAAAACCAGGAGACAGGCCGGACATGTCTTCTGTCATTCCTATGCTGAATGGTGAGAAATTATTGCATCAGCCGAAGGCTCCTGGATTTTATACAGGATCTTCAACTAGAACATGCAATCTTTTATCAACAAATGAGATGTCCCTCACAATTTTAGAGGCAAGATAGAATATGAAGACTCAAGTAAATGATGTGTTTAATTGACGAGTAAAAGAAATGGTATATCTTCCAAATCGTAACACTGATGAAATTTGAGTACAAAGACTAACAAAGTCTACACAGTTCATAAATAGTTGACTCCTTAAGCATATTGTCATGAATTCGAGTCTTGGTGAAGTGTATGTAAAAGATTTTGTTGGGAAAAGAAATACTCACTTGGGTCATCTGTATGCAGGAGCTATGATAAGGTAAAATATTGAACCTGTACCTATTTTGTAAGGGTATTCGAAGTGCTTCCAGTAAGACGTGATGCAGCTAGCGTTAATTGACATTTCTGAACAAGTTAGATTGCATTTAGAGCACAGAAAAGTGACCTTTTCCGGAATGAAGAACCTTTAAAGGAACACTTAATTATGCAATTGCTATTGCATCAGAGCACAGGAAAATGACCAATTCAGAAAAAAAGAAATTTGTAGAGTAACACTTATTACTCTATTGCTATTTTCAAGGCTTGAACTTATGTCCTTCCAGCAATAACACAACTAACTTGTCACAAAATATAACCCAACCCTTATTAGCACCTTCTATGCAACTCTGGTATAAAGACATTTGTTTTCATTGTGGAATCACAATATCAGCGTCTAAAGATTCTTGACCATGTTCTTTACAAGATATCACTTTTGAGATTGCACCTTCGGCCCTTACTAGGTTCATGTCATCACAGTTGAATTCTTTACAATATTTGAAGGTTTTATTGTGAGAATTGTAAAACTGAGAGAAGAAGAGAAAGACAATACGTATTGTGAAAGAGTAAAAGTTGAATGATTATTCTCTCACATTTTATTTCAATGAGCTGCGGTACAATATATAATTTGAAAACAAAAATGCACCTAACCAGGATTTCAGCAAAATTAAAACATAATTATCTTGCTCCTAACGTTTAGGAACCACTTATTGACTCCGTTAATGCTTAATAAAAAATAATAATAACTAAATTTCAGTTACAAAAGCACAGTTTTAACACTCCTCCTTGCTTTAGGAACTGCAAACTCCAATTCTTTTCCTTAGAAGTTCAAATTTTCTGATAGGCAATGACTTTGTAAATATATAAGCTAGTTGATCTTCAGTCTTGCAGTAAACTAAGTTTACTTCTCCACTTTGCTGCATCTCTCTCAAGAAGTAGAGCTTGATATTGAAATGTTTAGTCTTCTCATGACACACTGGATTGTTTGCAATAGCAATTGTTGTTTGGTTGTCAACAAAAATTTCAGTTTTGTTCTTCTGGTGTAAAAGTAAATCACTTAAAATCTCCTTCAACCATAAAACTTGATTTATAGCTACTGTTGCAGCTATGAATTCAGCTTCAGTAGTAGATTGTGTTACAATCTCTTGCTTCTTTGTGCACCATGAGAAAACTCCAGAGCCTAGGCTGAAACAATATCCTGAAGTACTCTTCATGTCATCAACAGATCTAGCCCAATCACTATCAGAGAATCCATACAATTTGAATTCTTGACACTTCTCAAATTTGACACCATAATCAATAGTGTGCCTTTAACATACCTCAATATTTTTTTTTTCTGTTTTTCAATGCATTTCACTTGCACAATGCATAAAATGAGACAAGAGACTTACAGCAAATAGAATGTCCGGCCTTGTTGCAGTGAGATACATTAGACATCCAATCAAGCTCCTATAATATCCTTCATCAATTTTATCAGCACCATCTTCCTTGCTCAACTTCTCCTTTTGATTCATTGGTGTGCTAACAGATTTGCATTCCTCCATTTGAAATTTCTTCAAAATTTCCTTAGCATATTTTCTTTGACAGATAAAAACTTCATTCACACTTTGTTTTATCTCAATTCCAAGAAAATAGGTCATGAGACCAAGATCTGTCATTTCAAAGGCTTGCATCATTTCTTGTTTGAACTCCTCAACCAGTCTTGTGTCATCTCCAGTCACTAAAAGATCATCAACATAGAGGGAAACTATGAGAAGGTTATGTCCCTTATGTTTCACATAAAGAGTGGACTCGGATAAGCTTTTTGCAAAGCCTATGCTCAATAGGTGATCATTTATCTTGTTGTACCAAGCCCTTGGTGCTTGCTTTAGGCCATAGAGGGCCTTTTTAAGAAGATAGACTTTATCTTCTTCACCTTTCTTCATAAATCCTTCTGGCTGCTCCACATATATTTCTTCTTGAAGTTCTCCATTTAAAAAAGCTGATTTAACATCTAATTGAAATATTTTCCAGCCATTTTGCGCAGCCACTGCTAGCACCAATCTAATTGTATCCAATCTAGACACAGGAGCAAAAGTGTCAGAATAATCAACACCAAAAATTTGTGCATACCCTTTTACTACGAGTCTGGCCTTGTACTTGTTGATTGAGCAATCTGCATTAAGCTTTGTTCTGAAAACCCATTTAACTCCAATGACTTTTCTATCTTCAGGCTTTTCAACAAGTTCCCAAGTCTGATTTTTTTCAATCATGGCTAGCTCCTCCTGCATTGCAGCCCTTCACTTGGGATCTTCTTTTGCATCCCAGTACCCCGCAAGTTCAAGGACAGCAACGTTGCACTTTTGGTAAATATCAGAGACCAATCTAGTGCATCTTACAGGAATATGATCAATTAACTCATCTTGATTGTGCAAAGGATCAGCTGTTGAAATTTTTTCTACAATATTCCAACTCCATTTCTCATTCTCCATGAAGTGCACATCTCTACTTATCAGAATTTTCTTTGTGTGAGGTTGGAAAATTCTATAAGCTTTAAAAACTGAACTGTATGCCACAAATACACCAGGTTCAGCCTTTTTGTCAAGCTTGTCTCTCTTAATCTGTGGCACATAAGTAAAACACAAGCATCCAAATACTTTAAAGTTTTTTAAAAAAGGTTTATAGCCATACCAAACTTCAAAAGGAGTCTTCCCTTCAACGGCTTTGGTGGGTAGTCTATTTAGCAAAAATACTGCAGTGTTTGCAGCCTCTGCCCAGTATTCCTTAGGTAACCCTTTCTCATGAAGCATACATTTGACCATTTCCATTATCGTTCGATTCTTTCTTTCACTAACCCCATTCACTACAAGAAAAATGCTGATTTCCGACGGAAATGTCTATGTATGTTGTCAGTATAACTTGTACAAATTATATTTGGAACGCCCGTTCCAGCATACCAAATGATGTGTTAATTTTGTCTCTGAAACGGGCCGTTCCAATTTCAGAACGGGTCGTTCCAGTTACAAAATTTATACATAACGGCCATAACTAGAACGGGCCGTTGCGATTTTGGAACGGGCCGTTCTGGACCCTGTCTAAAGCCTATAAATAGACAGCTTAGGCATATTTCTGAGGGACTCCAAAATTTCTTCCAGAGCTCGAAATTTCTCTCTTTTTCTCTCTTCTTCTCTCTGTTGTATTTCTTGAGATTTTGTGAGGTATTGTAGTGTGAAAGGTGTAGACACCCAATTTCGTCTGGGGGCATACAAACAAGGACATAGATCTCTGTTACGAAGGGAAGGAGCTCCCGAAGCATGCGAACAAGAAGACAAGAAGTTAGGGGGCCCAAAAGCCCAAATTAGACATTTTTAGTGGCCCGGAACGAGCCGTTCCAAAATCGGAATGGGCCGTTCCCAAGTCTGGAACGGGCCGTTCTCGAATTGGCATGGGCCGTTTCAAGGCTCTTGAAAAGCCTATAATTTGTAAACTGGAACGGGCCGTTCCAACTAGAACAAGTCGTTCTAATCTCTTAAAAATGGGTTTAAGTTGTACCCTAGAACGGGCCGATCTGAAATCAGAACGGGCCGTTCCAGGGTCCTAAGTGTGGGTTTAATTTATACCCCAGAATGGGCCGTTCTGATTCT